TATTATTAACTTTACAAAAATACAGATGAGGGCAGAATTTAGTAAAACTGCTATTCCACCTTTTTAGGAAAAAGTGTGTCTCTTTGTTTACAGTGTCACTGCTATGCTAACAAAGTGACAATTGTTAAAAATCACCCAAGTTGGAGGGCAAAGTCAGAGCTGAAGTCATAAAACAACAAATGTATCACTTTTAGCAAACAAAGGCATAGGCCTCCGTCAATCGGAGCAGTAGGAACCCTTTGGAAAAGTAGTAAGGGAGAGTTTGGGAGCCTCAGTCAAAGCCTTTGTGACGTTGATCTATGGATAAAGTTGAGCAGAGGCGCTCTCGCTCAGTGTGAGCTGAATTTCTATGCAGGTGATGAATGAATGCGCTCTGCAGTGCGTGTCGTGGATTTATATCACTCTGCTCCCTACAGGATGGAGAGATAAGTTACTGCTAACCTGCAATGTCTTTCTACACCTGTGATCACCGTGTGCTCGGTTCGCTTCAATTACTATAAATTTGCTGAAAGTTATTTTAGTTTTGTAAAAGGTCAGCCTTGCAAATTCCTGCTCAGATCTTACATGGCAGACGTCTTCCTTCAAAGTGACGCTGAAAGCCTATGATAGAAGTAAGTGGACATTAACTGCAGATGAAGCCTCAAGCAAGGCTTCAGTGTACCAGTATTCAGTATTAGTAGGGAGTCTCAGCATGGACACTGTGGTTCATATAAGGAGACTCGCGTCTCAGTCAAAACATATTCATGAAGACAATGACAAATGTGCGCAATTGTGTCCAACCCTGACCCATCCAATGAGTTACCTGCTATTGAACACACCTCTGTCATTCAGGGGTCAGTAAGACACTGCTCTCTGAAAAGGAGCTGCTTTACAGCCTCTGAAATATTCACGAAAAGCAGCAGGAAGATGAATGGGCGCCCGTGTCCCCGCTCAGGGCCCTTGTTAAAAGACAGCGTTGATCGAGAGGTCAAAGCCGGAGAGAATTTTAAACATCCATTGGTCCAGGGCCCCCCGGGATCATTACAGCTCACTCCTGAATGGAAGGAGAGTCGAGCCAAGAGAAAGAGAAGCCTAGCGTGGTGATATACGAGCATAATCATTTCTCGCTCTCCTCCTTTTTTTCTGTAGGCAGGGCTGGCCCGCACTTCATCCTCTTGCATTTTGGTACTGCCTATTCCGCTGAAACCTCTGCAGCAGGCTCAAGCACTTTCCTTTCCTCTCAGCAGCCTTTTTAAAGAGAAACTTTACCCCAAAATGAGAGTTCTGTCATTATTTTTCACCCTCATGTTTCTCAAGTGCTTATTTTTTTCCATTGAACACAAAATTAGAACATTTTGAAGAATGGTTATGCAGCGCTTGCCATATAACAACAATTCAGTTCACCAAAAATAAAATAGTTCTGTCATTATTTTCTTACCCTCATGTTGTTTCCAAACCTCAAGGTGGTCATTTTTCCATGGAACACAAAGGTAGAAATTTTTGCAGAATTGTTTTGCAGCTCTTACCATATAACAACAGATGAATTCAACAAAAATAAAATAGTTCTGTGCAAGTATAATAATAATAATAATAATAATAATAAAAGCACTTCTTATTTGATTATGTCACATGCAATATCCAATGCAACACAACATTTTTCTAATATGGACTAAATATAATCAGTTTATTATGTTATATTACTTAGATCTAATTTAAGTTTATTTTTTTCAGTTTTGGTTACACAAAGTCATTGTATGACTTTAGAAGACAAGTCATATGACCTATACTTTTACAGTGTTTTTACAGTGTTGACAGACTTTGGTCACAATGAACTGTTGTTTTTTTTCTTTCTCAGAAATATCTACTTCTTGTGTTCCATGGAAAAAAATAACAACATACAGCTTTGATTGATGGATTTTTGGGTGAACTATTCCTTTAACTGACCATATTGTTTATTAAATGCTTTTAATTTTTAAACACTACAGTGTGAGTAACACCAGCCTGATGCAAAAAACAAACAAAAGCAGGATGACACCTCAGAAGCGGATAAACTAGACAATTATAATCTTAGAATGTGCTGCTCTATTCTTTTTAAAGTAGATCATTATAAGACACAGCAGTCACAATATCTACAAATAATCACCAGGTCTGCTGCCTGGTTGGAACCCATCATTAAATGTGATAAATGTGGCTCTTGGAATATGATGACAGAGTTGAGAAAAGCGCACCCTTCATCCACAACACAGAAATATTAATTCACTCACCTTACCCATGATGCCTTAAGTGAGAAGTACCAAGATACTGAGGTCACTGCTGCCATCTACTGGGTTGTCTCTATATTTATTGTGGAGTTTTCTGTTGGGACATGCTATGTGATTTGCCAAGACAATTTCAAGTCTGATCTTGAAAAATATCACATTTATTTTCATAGAAAATGTATATTTTACACAGTTCTACACATGCACAGCCACACAATAGTCCATATCAGTAAATATAGACCAACAAGTACTTTTTTCTCTTTAATTCACAGAACAAGCACAGAATTGCAGTCTTGAGCATCTTTTCTTGAAGACACCATGGAGAACACTTACACTGTAGAATATTAAATCTTAAAGCACTAAAAAAGTCTGAAAATCTGTAAATTAAGTATAAACATTTATAAATTATCTACAAATGGTGTACAAAAGAGTAACCGAGAAATGAATTATAACATCCAGTCACAAACGAACACTTGGGATTTATGATAATAATAGAGATATTTCTGTTAAATGAAAATATATGTAATCTCTTTTATTTTTCTTTTGGCAAAATGATGTTGCAAGCTATACAGGCAGCTGAACATTTCATACATTGCCTTTTGGCTATCCAACCTTTTTTTTTTTTTTTATTAGAACCCTCCATGTTTTTCGTCTACAACAAATAAACTCCATTCACCCCAATTTTTAATTAAAATGCTTAAATATAGTATACTTTTATTATAATCTTTTTTAAAGATAAAAAAAAAAAAAAACCAAACACACACAGTATTTACCCTGGATCAAACCATTCAAGAGTGCAATCTAAATCCAACTGGCCACATTATTGTGAGATGCCACCAAATGTTGGCTCAACCTCGCATTTCCAGTTGCAGAGGCAAGATGTTTTGTGTTAATGCAAGAGATGTTGCCCCTTATGTAAACTACTAGATTATAGCTTGAGACAACTGAGCTATCATAGGTAGTTTTGCCTGAGGGTATTACTTAACCTGCATTTTGGCAGCTGAGAATATGTATTATAAAGTCCTCAGCAAAGAGACTATCACAAGGAGTTTGATTCTACCATAGCAAGCTAAGACCTCAGGAAAAACAGCCAATGATAACAGCAGCAAGGATATGTCATTTAAGCCTATAGATTATGTTCTCATAACCAGCCATGACCCATTAGTGTAAACCAGTGTTAAAAGGGTTGTTTACCCAAAAATGAAAGTGTCATTCTAACCTGTATGATTTCTTCTTCTGTGAAACATAAAAGAAGATGGGCCTATTTTGAAGAATGTTGGCATCTGAACAGTTTTCCATTGTACGGACTAAAGAGAGAGAGTGAGAGCAATTTCTCAAAATATCTTCTTTTATGTTCCACAGAATAAAGAAAGTCATAGAGTTTTGGAATGACGTTAGGGTGGGTAGCCTAAATAATGACAAATTTCATTTTTGGATGAAAATCCGTTTATACAGAACGCATTCTTGTGTTTAAAATGGAATGGCAAAGAACACAGTGTTTCTATGCATGTAGTCAAACTACTTTTGCTTTTTAAAAACAAACGAGAGAGAGTGTCAAATGTCAGTCTTTCGCATGTTTACATTGAAAAACGATTTTTTTTTTAAAAACATTGCAAAAATGCATTCTGTGTAAACCGGCCCTCAGAAAGTGAAATTCGAGGAGACACCTAGACACCATCTTTGCTTAAATATTTCTTTTTCTGAAGACGACACCACCCTTATTGAAAGGAACAGGAAACAACTTGTAATTAGCAGCACGTCACATTATCACAAAAGTTTTATTTGTCCCTTTTCAGTTGTAAGGGGTTGCACGAACATGGATGCAGAGGGGAGACACACACACACACACACACACACACACAAACCATTCACCAAAACACAATGAATTGTGCATTGAAAGGCAAACACAGAAACTTTTCATTGTATTTTTATAACTTTAGAGTCATTCTCGTGATAAACGCAGGAAAGGGAGCTCTTAGAGCAAGCAAAAGGGAGGATACTTGGCAAAGACTGATGTATGGAGACATCAGATGTACTTACTGAGTTTAGATGAAGGCCACAGCAATGTTTAAAAGGATTTGCTCATAGACTGTTCTGGTCAGTTATGCCATTTTGCACCTTGCGCATCATTCTATGGAAATACTTCTTTTGATTGTGGTCCTTTTTGTTTCGGACTAATGCTCTTAATATGGTCTGGCGGTTTTTTATCATTTACTGCTATTTGACTGACAATGTCAGACCATATTTAAAGTGCTTTTTGAACTGTTTTTATCACCAAGTGCTATACCAAACTTTAAAATCTATGAGATTAAATATTTCATTCAAAATCCAGCACTTTGATTTGAAATTATAATTGAAGGAATTCCTTAAATATTAATAATATCTCTGTCCTCTACATGCTTTCATTCTGACAGCCAATTACATATGAGTGACATATGAGTGACATCTTTATATATGTCATTCCTTTTCATCTGGATATTAGTGCTGTTTAGATTACAAATTTTTTGTGTGTGTGAGGAAAAAAAAATCACCGTAGACTTTTCTGAAACACTGGGGATTGTGAGATTAAATATTTCATTCAAAATCCAGCACTTTGATTTGAAATTATAATTGAAGGAATTCCTTAAATATTAATAATATCTCTTTGTCCTCTACATGCTTTCATTCTGACAGCCAATTAGCAAGCTCACTGACATATGAGTGACATCTTTATATATGTCATTCCTTTTCATCTGGATATTAGTGCTGTTTAGATTACAAATTTTTTGTGTGTGTGAGGAAAAAAAAATCACCGTAGACTTTTCTGAAACACTGGGGATTGGTGGTTTCCCTTTTGAGAGAGAAATCTGTATTTGTAGCCATATGAATTTGAAATCAATCTCATACTTTTACTTTGAGAACTTTTGGAGCAGTTTCTTCCCCTTAGAGAGCAGTCCTTTTTTCTTTTTAGATGTCAGGTCTCGTGGACCCCTGGCAGGGCTCAGCGACCTGACTGGGCCAACGGGAAGCAAAGGACGCACAGTGGGAGAGGCGGGTCTTCCAGGGGCCGGAGCTGGCACTGAACTTTCCACAGGCACCTAATGAAACATCCACGGGGAAGGGAAAATTGTGGGATATTATACAGCAAGACTATATTTTGCCTTATTATCTGCCTTCTTCATACATAACAGTCCAGCTTATGTTCTGAGGTTTAAAACAAATGATCTCAGACTAGAAGAGTGCCAAGAAAGAAAGAGCAAAAATTATATTACTACTCACAGATTGGATCTTTAGAGAAAAGGCAGATAATATGGTTGGTTCCTGAATTAACTCAACTGTTTTATTAAATTTCTTCTTGCCTGCTAATACAGATATGAAATGTGAAAACATTCCTTCATTTAATTTGTGTTTGAATTGTTAGAAACCTCAAAGGGTGAGGGGATTTTATATTGTAAAACAGCATCAAAATAGACAGCACAAGGACTCCACACAGCATGGGAACCAACTGCAGATACCATACAAGTCTAATGCACTGGCACATTAAGCAGAAACGTTTTTTTGTTTGTTTTTTTTAAGATAGAAAACTAAATAAATTTGAAAAATAATCATTTGAATTAATAAACATTAATAAAGGGATAATAAAGGAAGTTCAACCAAAAATGAAAATTTGCTCACTATCAGGCTATTCAATGTACAGTAGTTGAGTTTGTTCCTTGATCAGATTTGGAAATAAAGAACGAGAGTCCAAACAGCTGATAAAAGCATCACAATAATCCACAAGTAATCCACATGACTCCAGTCCATCAATTAATTTCAAAAGCTGTGTATTTGTAAGAAACAAATCCATCGTTAAGGCATTTTAACTTCAAACTTCACTTCTGGCCAAAGAGTCCATAATCCACAGTAACGTTTCCTCCAGTGAAAAAGTCCATCCCCTGTTGTCTTCTCACAGCAAAATCCACAGACATATTTGTTTAGAACTATTTAGGACTGTTTTTGTGTGTAAATGGTGCTTGATCTGTGCATATTTCTCTCCTATTTCAGACAAGATGACCTTTTCACTGGAGGAAGCAATATTATGAATAGAGGACTCGTACTGTATTTTACCCGAATGAAATGGTTTGACATTAAAAATGTCTTGATGGATTAGATCATTACAAATTCTCAACTTTTCGCTTCACAAGACGTTAGTTCATAGAATGGAGTCATGTGGATTACTTGTGTATTATTATGCTTTTATCAGCTGTTTGGACTATCATTATGATGGCACCCATTCACTTTAGGGAATTTCCTTCAAATCTGTTACAGTGAAGAAACAAATTCTTCTACATCTTGGATGGCCAGAGGGTGAGTAAATACATTTTCATCTGGAGGTGAACTATTCCTTTAAGCAGAAAAATCTAAAACAAAATGTATCTTTAGACGACAACAGATCACATTCTTATTCAACTAATGCTACATCCCAATGATATAATTTACCCATAAAAATGCATTAAAAAATTGCATAAAGGCTGCGTATAAAATCCCATGCATGAGACTGATCACTGGTATCGCCAGTTGCCCAACTTACCTAGCAAGACAAAAGTCTGCTAGGACAGGAAATTAACAATATTCCTCAGCTTTTTTTCTTTTTTTGGCAAAGCCGGTGGGGAAAAAAGGAAATTAGAATACAGCAACATCATAAAAAACATAAATCAATTATGAGCAGAAAAAAAACAACAACACCACATACACAAAAACAAATATATGTATTCACTAAATGTCCACTAGCAAAAATACATATTTGTTTTAGTTTTTCATTTATTTAGATTTATTGTAATTACATCATGAATGATATTATTTTAGTCTCTCAGAAAGAGATGGAATGAGTAATATATGTTCTGCTAGTTCATATGATCTAAAAAAAATAGAGTTTTTGGACAATGTGCAATATACAAAAAGAAACAAAGCCTCCTCAAAGAAATACAACATTTGGGGTAATGTAGTTTACTTTTATATAAAAGCTACAGGTCTGTTCTAGAAAAAAAAACAGGCATGCCTCAACTACAAACTAGTTTCCAAATCAGTCTTTTAACAGGGTCACAAATCACGAGCCACAGACCCTATGGACTTCACAAAGCACTTTGACTAATGCAAACAGCTTCACTTAAGTAGGGTTTTGTGTTTCAGTGCAAAAATGCTTTATGCTTTATTCGTAGTCCGGTGCAGGAACGGAATTTGGCCTTTTCCACAGTCCTCTGGCGACCCTCTACGAACATTCGCTTTCTTAATAGAGTCACGTTCGTACCTGTCTCTTTGCAGTGGGCTTTGCTTCTCCCTTTCCTAGAGCAAGAAAGGTTGGACTGGAAATCACCACCACGGTCACATAACGAAAAAACAAACAAGCACAAGAAAACACAGAGACGGCGAGTGAACCGAAACTCAAACGGAGCATGAATGGACACAGGGCCTAGCGCTGAGAACGGCGATGGTGTACCCGTTTGGTCTCTGGGCGCAGTGCCGGTACCGGATTGGGCTCGTCCTGACCGCGGTGGGAGGGAGTGTCCGTCAGATAGACCTCCACGTCATCAGGCACTTCTTCGAGAAAATTGGATGGAACCAAGCCCCGATGTCCATTAAGCTCACCCTGAAAGACAAAAAACAAAACACAATAGTGCTGCAGGCTCAGAATAAAGCAGCGTGAGCAGTCAGCACAACAATGAGACTTACATAATAGAAGCCGTCTTCATCTATATCCCCAAAAACAGCAATGATATCGCCAGCACAGAATGTCAGTTCAGCCTGCCACAGAAAGCACATAATCAGTAACTCCACAGACACGCGTATGCAGCAGATTGAGAACCTGTGAGTGTATAAATAAATAAATGCGAGTGTGTTTAACACCTCAACATCAACGTTTGGCGAGCTCTCTCTGGGGTCGTAGTCATACAGGGCAACCATTCGTCTTGTGGCCACTGGGTGGCGACCTCTCTTATTTTGTTCTGTTGAAGGAGAGAGAATCAGTTCTTCTGTGAGAGAGGCAGGCTATGTTCAAAACAA